GAGGTGACTGTGTAGAAGTTTTCTGCAAATGCTCTTTTCTCTTAACTAAAGCCATTATCATTTCCCTTCATTTTACCTTTTGAATTTTGCTCACCATAAAATAATAAGCCAAATGGTTTTTGGTCTTTTTTTTTTGCTTGTATTTTTGGCAGCAAGAAACTGCCAATGATTCAGGGGATTTATTCGCACAGCTGAATTCTGAAAGGAGCGGCCTGGAGTTCTGCGGCATCTCAGAGCCAACTGAGGCAAATGATGAACCTCAGCCCAGGGACGCTTCCACATTTATGACTCAGTTGGAATATAAAGGTGTCTTTCTTTTGAAAGACTGTTTTTTCAAGCCCTCTGATGAAAAAGCTAGGGAATATTGCTATCACTTCTTCCTTTCCTCCCCAAGCAAGTAGCATTCCTCTGCCTTGAACAGATGGGGCTCTGTGTGACCGGTAGCCCAGTGTTGTAGCCAGCAGCGGGTGGCACTGGCATCTATGAGCTGGGCTGTCCCTCCACTTTAACTTCCTCTCACCAGACTGGAGCGGTGCCTCAGACAGACAACAAAGCGGCAGAGGTTCGGTCCAGCCACCCTCACGTCCCAGCCATTCCTCGTGGGAGTGATGAGGAGGGTGAGTGCCTTCTGGGAAGGATTCCGGAGAAGGTGGGGGATGCGGAGGGGCGAGGGCAGCGCCGTTCATGCCTGGCGCTGCCTGTGCTCGTGACTGTCCACAGCGCGGGCACTCCCTGCTGCGAGTGATCACCGCTCCCGGAGGACTCACCGGGTTTCCATGCACACAGGCAGCTCTAGCCAAGGCACACACACACCCGCGTGCCACCCTATTCCTACTTCTTCAACAGCCTTCTGACTGGCTTCCCATCATTATTATAAAGAATGTCAATCTTCACCAACTGAGAAAATCCCCAGTCTCTGAAGCAACTTAGACAGTGTTTGCTCTCCTAATGACTTCATCTGCACTTCACGGAGTTGAGGATATAGTTAATGTTGCATCCGAGTCCCCTTGTCACACTTTTGCAGACAAGGGCACACTGCAGCAGTGCCTTCCGAATGAGTAGGGATCATAGTCTCGGACAGTAGACGTTCAGAAAGAGCAAATTCATTTTGGAGCAGAGACAAGTTTACATTCCCAAACCTGTAATTTGTACCTATGTTGAATAATCTTCATAGGTATTGAGGGTTGGCTCAAAACCAGTGACTTCTGCATATAAACAACTTCGGGAGCACTTAACCTTTCTGCCTGACCGCTCACTCGTAAAAACACCGTGTAATGAAGACTAAGTCGCCAAGTACTGAACGTACAGCATCTCTACAGTCAGTCCCCCACAGGCCTTTGAGTTCCTCCTGACCGTCAGGCAGGCTTTGCAGGCCGAGTGCTGGGGATTCTTGCCCTCCCAGCTTCCGGTCTGGTCACTCCACCTGACGCATGAGTGTGGTATCCGCGCTGCACCCAAGTGTATACGAGGCGGGGGTGGGGAGGGGGCTCTGTAAGAAAGAGAATATAATTCACAGTGCCAAATATTTATGAATATGGAAATTGCAAAAAATTATAGAAGAGGCTCACCTAAATGAAAGACTGTAGACTCAAGTTTCAAGTGTTCCATAGTAAATCCTCCGATGGGGAGAGAGGTGATATCTTATCTCAGTTTAACAGGTAAGAAAAACTGGTGTTGGTTTAATAAGTGTCTGATTTGGGGTAAGACTGAGCCTTCTGCTGCTGTCAACCCAGGGAGGTACCAACAGGGACTGGAGGGTATCAGGGGAAATAGCTCTTCCTCAACCTGGGCATAGCGCAGATTATGTTGGCAGGAAAAATGAGCGGCTGCCCGGCAGCTCTGCTTCCATACAAACCAGGGGACAGTTTCACCCCCTGACTCATTATTATCATCTTAAGCCTTGTTTTTCCTGGGGTTTAGGTTCTTGCCATTTGGCTACTTCTGACCAGCACTGCAGCTGGGTCTGACTGAAAATTCCTCATCTGGCCTTCCGTAAAATGAGGGGGATGAGCCAGACGATCATTTCCCAAACTTCTCTGCAGAGCGTTAGATCTATAGGATGTGGCTAAGCATTGTGAAGATAGAGACGTGTGGGCACACGGGCCAGGAAATGCTGGTTGGAAACTGGCTCCTTTACTACGGGCCTCTTCGAGGCTTAATTTGGCTAATGTGTGCGGTTGCTCTCCAGGAGAGAAACAATGTGCAGCTCTTCCCAAACTCATGCCATCTATTTGACAATGACTTACTGAATGCCTACTGTGTGCCACACTGTTCTAGATGCTGGGGGCACAGCAGTGGAAAAATAACTTGGTCACAGAGCCCTTTCCCCCTGGAAGCCCACACCAACCAGCACGTCATGGTTCCACCTTGGGAAGCACTAGGCTGAGTGTCTTCCAAGGCCTTTTTCCATTTCCAACACTCTGTGAGCAACGACAAGCAGCACTGGGCCACCCTGACCTTGGAGAGAGGGTCTCCACCTGCCCTTCAGCCCTGCCCAGTTCTCGAGCCTTCACTTAGGACCTGCCTACTTCCACCAAATAAAGCCCCCCTACCCCTTTGGTCTCGGCCCACATTTCTGGTCTCCTCTTCCGCTGCTCGCTGGTATGTTCCAGCCACGCTAACATACCTCCTGCTTCCAAACAATTCATGCCTGTCCTCGGGGCCATGGCAGGTGATGTGAACTCTGTGAAATGTCTTCCTTCATCTGTACACCTGGTGAGTCCCCATTCATTTATTATTGAAGTAAAATTCACATGACATAAAAAAGTAGCCAGTCAAAGCTGTACAGCTTAGCAGCATTTAATGCAGCCGCAGTGTCTGTAATAACCATCACTTGTATATAGTCCCAAACATTTTCATCGTCCCCAACAGATACCCCATATGTACGAGGAGGTCACTCTCCTTTATTCCCTCCCCTCCAGCCCCCCAGCCACTAATCTGCTTTCTGTCTCCTGGATATTTCATATAAATGGAGTCATACAATATGTGACCTCTTGTGATGGACTTCTGACAGTTAAAATAATTTTGAGAATCATCCCTGTTACAGCATGCATTGGTACTTTATTCCTTATATGGCTGAATAATACTCCCTTGTATAAATATAACACATTTTGTAAATCACTGAGTAGTTTCTAGACATCAGAAAGGGTTGTTCTCACTTTTTTGACTATTAGGAATCAGGCTGCTGTGGACACTCATGTCCAGGGTTTTGTGTGGTCACACATTTTCACTGCTCTTGGAGGTATGCCTAGGAATGGAATTGCTGGGTTATATGGTAATTCTGTGTTTAACTTTTTGAGAAGCTGCCAAACTGCTTTCCACAGGGGCTGCACCATCTTACATTCCCACCCGCGTATGGGAAGGGTCCGATTTCTCTCTATTCATTTTTAAGACTTAGCCCAAGCTTCATGGGAAAGCTCCCCACAGTATCTTCCTTTTCCTTGCACTGGTCACCCTGTCTCTATGTACCTGTCTCCCACACCAGAGATCTTCAGGGTAAGGCGGTGATTTCCTCACCCTTACATTCCCAGGACCAAGCACGCAGTCTGGCCTTCAATTTAAAATTGTTGAAGAAATGGATGAATGAACTATCAGATGGTGTCTGGAATTAGTTCTTCAATGTTTGACTGGTGTCAGATGCCTGGCTATCCTCTTGCTTGGGACCTGTTACTTGTTCCCAATCCGTTTGCTCTCCAGCCTGGACACCCGGGTGTCTTACCTTAGCCTAATTAATTCCCCAGTTTCCTCTTGAGACTGAGTTCTGCCTGATTGGTCCCCTTTTCTGACTCCCAAAACCTTCTCCAATTTGTCCAGCCACCACCATGCGCTCTGGAGAGTGCCCCGTAGGCCCATTCTTCACTGTCTGGGATCCTGCTCCCAAACACCTGGGCCACCAGACAAGCAGATCTGTCACTTATAAAAAATCTCTACTACACTGGGTCAAACTTGTCCTCCCACATCAGACAGAGATATCACACTGCACTGAACTCAAGCGCCCACAAATCTTAGATTACCCCCTGCAGGACTGTCAGTGCTGGGCCATCGCCAGGGGCAAACCTGAGGACCTGATCAGTTGCCGTGGGGTCCATCCCATCCCGTATCGTCACCCTTCTTTCTTGCTGCTCTTCTGCCTCCTCTTCTCCCGCCACCCCCTCCTTGTCTTCTGTTTCTCCCGCACCCTCGTCCTCCATAACCTTTGTATGCTTCATGACCTTGCAACCAAAGCCGTGACCATCTCTGGAATGTGCTGTCTTCTGGCACTCGCCGCGTCAGACTGCTGCAGACCATGACAGTCTTCTCTCTGCATGCTCCACCTCTAATCCTTGCAACTCTCCGTGAGGCTGAGAAAGGATATGGAACTTGTCCAAGGCAACATGGTTCAAAAAATGTGTCTAGGGTTTCAACCCGTGTCTGGCTAGATCCCAAATCCATCCTTGCTCCACTCCACTGCTCTGAGTCCCCTGATACGGGTTCCCTTGTTACAATACGTAACCTTCTACCAATCCCAGCTTAAAAATCTCTCCATACCCGATCTCTCTCAAAGAGAAACATCGCACATGATTAACACCTCACGAGTGACATCAGCACCCTCAGAGCCTCTGCAGATGAGAGGGGGCAGCGCTCCTTAAGCCTCTTCCCTGTCCTACTGCTTCTTAAGTCTTGCTAATTTGAACTGTTCATCTTTTTTTTTCTGAGATTTCCCCAGGTGATTCTTTTTGTACTATAATTTGCTTTTTATTGAAGTATAGTTGATACACAATATTATATTGGTTTCAAATATACAACATAGTGTTTCAACAGTCACACATTATAAATCCTCTCCCCCCACTAGTGCAGTTACTATCTGTCAACATACAAAGGTGTCACAGAACCACTGACTATATTCTCCAGGCTGCACTTCCATCCCCATGACCAACTTATATTATGACTGAGATTTTTCTGCCCCTTTGTCCCCCTTCCCCTCCCCTCCCACCCACCTCAACCCCTTCCCCCAAGTAACCATGAATCCCTTCTCAGTGTCTATGAGTTTACTGCTGTTTTGTTCGTTCTGTTTTGTTTTGATTTTAAGTTCCACAATGTATTATAATCTTATTTATGCTTGATAACAACACATAATGAATTATTTCTTTAATACATGTCTTAGATGTTATTTATACTAGTAGCCTTATAAATCTGTATTGTATTTTTTGGAGGAACATTTGGCTACCTATCAAAAGTCATTAACATAGTTATATCCCTTGATTCACTAGTACCATTTCTGGGAGTTGATCCAGGGAAAATGCATTTTGAAAATACTACATACAGTGATGTTTATAGTAGCATTAATAGGAACATTTAAAAGCCAAAGACCAAAAAAAAATCTAGATGTTTAACAATTTGGGGGAAATAAGTAAATTACATATGAATGACCAGATATTATGTAACTATTAAAAATAATAAACATGATGGTTGTGTCATAGCATTGAACAAGTGAAAGAAGTAGGACACAACTCTCTATACACACAACCATCTAACTAACCATGTGAAAGCTACATGCACACATCAAAACAGATTGGAACAGGTCCACAGTTATAAAAGAGATGTAAGTGGCATGAGGATGGATGGAGATTTTTCATTATTTTAATTAGAGTTTCTTCTTTGGAGCATGTTTAAATTGCTGAAATGGCAGATCAGTGATGTCCAGAGGCAATTTAGGAAGGCTGGTCTTTTCATTAATACTCAAGTCCATCTACAGGTGGCAATGGCTCTTCACAGTCCACTGCAGGGAGGAGTGCCAGCGCTGGCTTGCCGGCCACACTTACAGGGAGAGGAACCTGTTAGAGTTTAGTTTGGGGTAAGTGCATCCCAATGACGCCGGAGCATGAAGGGCCAGGGAAGAGGGAATGCGGTCGAGTCGCATATCATTTCAGCTGGAGTACAAAAATGGGATGGTCTGTAAACACACAGGAACGTTTGAGGCAAGCCTGGTGAAAATGCATGCTTTCCCTTAAAGATTGTGTAATTCTCTCCACCCTAAATTCTTTCAAAAACCCACTCCACCCATATGTTGCTCAGACATATCCTCCTTTGCACAGTAGGAATGTTTAATGATGGGAGATGAAATGTCTGTAACTGACACATTAGGATCCAAAGGCTAAATGTTAATCAGAGCTGTTGAGTAAACCATCTAAAAGTCCTTTTTCATGTAAACACCTCGTCAGCAGTGAAATGGACATGACCAATCTAGCCTCAAAGACACTCACAGGGAAGACTCACCTGCAGAAGTCACCTCAGAGACATTCCAAGCCGATTGTGCATCATACAGGCCACAACGTGAAAACTGGTCAGGCTGGAAGTCAACAGCCCTCCTGTGAAGCATTCCAGGCTTGAAAACGAATAATGTTATCCTGGAACTCTGAGAAAGGATTAAACACAGAGCTTTAACCTTCAGATAACACCACCTGGTCTCTCCAGAATATGAGCATCCCTGAAGGAAGAAAGAGGAAGAATGTTTGCAATTAAACCATAGCCTTGGAAACACTGAACTTTGAGAAAAGGCAGGAGGGAGGGGTGGATATTTAACCAAATTGAAGGGTGTGTCTATTCGTCACTGGGTGGATCAAGATGATGCATGAGTACTGCCCCGCCTACAGTCACAAAGGTGACCTCAGCTCCCAGGGGCAGCTCCGTTCTGTGGGTACGCCCCTTATGAAGCTCGGGTTGAAATGATCTCTTTGTATTATTAGTCAGGCGCCGTCTGTTCTGAAGGTGAAGATCCCATTCCTGTCGGCGACAGGAGCTCCCCCGTCTGAAAGTGCTAACTCACCGGCATGTGATGACTGGTCTCTAACTGCATCCCTGGTGAAGGGGCAGGACGCTGTGCTGGGCTGAGAAAAGGAGCTGCTCCCACTGCACAATCAGAGGGTGAAACAGGTGGCGGGGGGCCGAGGAGCAACACACATGCACAGCTGTGATGGTATGTAGGAAAAGCGCCAAGAAGAATATTTAATGGCTGTAAGAACAGGAAGCCTGAGAGCGCACATCTTCCAAATATCAGATATCACATCGGGATTAAATGTGAAAGGATTTTAGCAGGGAAAATACCTGTGTGAGACAAAACCGAGGAGAAAGCTGCATGAGGCTCAGAGCGCCATGAGACCAGCATGTACATCTGGCCCTGAGTGAAAGAGAAAGGGAAGGAAGGTGGGCAGACACGTCCGGCTGTGCCATTGAAAGAAGGCTCAGCAAGGCCGTGGGGTGGCCAGAAGCCAGTGGCAGCTGAGGGAGGTTTCCCCATTTCCAGAACAGTCTGCCCTGGCACCTTTGCTTCCCTTAGTCACAGCTGGGGGCAGCCCTCGGGAGGCACCTCCCTCGGGAGGCATGTGCTGGGCACACACATTCCTGTGGAGTTCAGAGCACAGCGGCTGCTGGGTTGGCCAGTCCCACTCCCAGAGCTGGAGGTCGGCGCCGTCTCAACACGGCCTACTAATCAGGACTCCATTAGTTCTGAGAACAGAGTGGTTTGTGGAAATAATACAAATTAAATGTATACAAGCAGCTTATGAAACAAAGAGCTGTGCTTTGGGACAACGTAAGAAGGTGAGCAGAGAAATGGTGGGATCCGATCGTTACCCTAACCATGAGCATAGTTCGCCAACATGCTAACCACGAAAGCAAGCAAAGCTGACCCTGGCCAGCTATGTTGCTATAAAAAAGTCAAGATTCATTAACTGATACTGACAATAGTTATGGTTTGGACTTCAGCCTCAAAAGATGAAGACTGGATTTCAGCAGATGTAGGGCTTCAGCAAATTCCCTCCAAAGAGCAATTCATCTGTTAAATACATTGCTCTGGATGGAGTTCGAATAAATTTCTGCCAGAGTCTTGGATATCTGCCTGCTTATTTTTTTATAATATTAGTCTAATAAAATACAGGCCAAAGCACCTCTCTGAGACAGATCAGTGGAATCAAATGAAACATACAGAAAAGAGACCCAAGTGCAAATGGAAATTCACTACAGGATAAAGGTGACATGTCTAATTAGTAGGAAAAAGATTACTTGATAAATTGGGTTGGAACAACTGGTAGCCATCTGGAAAAAAAGGAACGTGGATCTTAACTCATATGTTATATCATCATAAATTCAGGAAGGTTTAGAGATTTAAATGTTAATAATAAAATAAAAGTACAAATGGCAGAATTTTAAAATCCTGAGTGGGAAAGAACTTTCAAAATGTGAAACAAAACCCAGATGCTATGAAAGAATAGAAAAATTAATTTGACAAAAATAAGTAGTTTTTGCTTAGGGGCAAAACACCTTAAACAAAAACAGAAGACAGAAAGTATAAAAAATATTTTTGCAATTCATATTACAAAGGCCCAATTTCCCCCACATATAAAAAAAATCTTATAAATCACTAAGAAAGGCCATCAACCCAACAGAAAAAATGGGCAAAGGAGATGAAGAGATATCTTATGAAAAATGTGTGTAAATGATTCTTAAATACATGAACATGCCCAATTTCAGTCATAAGAAAAATGTAAGTTAAAATTATACTTAAAGTGAGAAAACAGAATTTTCTGGATGTTGGTTTTTTTAACTAATCAAGGATTTTAACAGGATTTAAGAGTCTTTCTGACTTCATCCATCCTGTTGGGATCCTAAATATGTGACAAGTGGATACCCTTCGTGTAGGGGTTATTTATTCAACATAAATTACCTTTGTCAGCCTCCCAGTAACTGGCATAGATACTCTTTCCTCTAGAGTTTAAATATTAAAAATGTATAAATCAATAGAAAAAAAAGTTAAATAAAACATGTTTTATCCATCAACATTGACAAATGGACCTTGGTTCATAATGGTCTGCAATGTTCAAATCTGGGATTCTTGGTTCTTCAGGATTTCGTTCTGGGATAAAATAACGGGGGAGGGCTGGCCCGTGATCTTTCCTTTTCTCTTCCACCTCCCCCTCGGTCCTGAATCCTGAGTGGCCTCCACGCACAGTGCACCAGCCTACGCGTTCAAACACCACTGAAGACAGCCGCCCCTGGGGCCTGCCTCTGGGCAGTGCAGGCGGCCCCAGGAAGACAGGATGGGGAAAGAGGTCCATGAAGACTATGGGAGCAGCGGGGAGGCATTGGGGCATTTCAGGGTATGAGATGCCTGAAGAGCAGGGGAGAGCAAGGGTTTGGGATTTTTAACATACGGAGCTGGCTAGCCTGAATTCTCTTTCCCGGGTTCCTGTGCAAGATGTGGAGGGCAGAAAGGACACAGCAACATTCTGCAAATGACAGGTGTGCTTGCTAATGGGCAGCGTCACCTCATGCCCATTAGGCAGCAGCCCGCACCTGCTCCGCCTCCCCCTGGCCTGATTCCCCCGGCCAGGTGTGTGTGTTTAGTTCTGTGACACAGCGCCCTGGCTTGTGCAGGCCACCCAAATCCGTAAGGTCAGGGTCAACAAGCACTGGCCCGGCTTTGGTCTATTCTGTGGGCTCCGCCGCCCTCTCACCCGCCCCACTTTACATCCACCTTCCCTTCCAAATGTCTGCCCTGCCGGCCCCAAGTTCCGACATCAGACCCGGGGACAGCATCCTTACAGGGGCTGCTGGGTCCTCCTCTGCGGGAGGTCGGGTCCCTGGGACGGAGCCCCTTCCCCCCACTGCCAGCCCTCTCCTCTCCGAGTGTGTGTGTGTGCGCGTGTGACAAGTCCCCTTGGCCTAGTGGACGTGCCCTATGGGAAGGGCATGGCCGAGCAGGGCCACCCTTAAAGCCCAGCACCCAGATCAGGGGCCACGCGTGCCCAGGAACAGGGAGAGCGCTGAACCCAGGGCAAGAGGAGGGACGCCTGGGACCAGTGGCTATTTTGGACAGGGTTCAGTGAAGGCCTTCCGAGGTGGCCCTTGAGCTGTGACATGAATGACACAAAGAAACTTCCAGGCAGAGGCTAGGATGAAAGCCCTGAATAGAGAAAGCCTGGCGTGTCCAGCAGGAAGGCCACTGTAGCCGAGCCGAGGGTGCTCAGAGGCGAGGCCGGAGGGCAGGCAGGTCCGGGCTGTGATGGCCCCGGGGCTCGGGGTAGTTAGATTACCTCCAGGTGGAGGGGAGGCAGCTGGTGGGTTTTCAATATGGGGAGACACAATCTAAGAAGGATTTGGGGGACAATTCTCTGGCTGCTGTGGCTGCTCAGTGGGTATGGGGCTGAGGGGCAGGGGGCCACCAGCCCCACCGGGAGGGAGTGCACACTCCTCTCTCCTCTGCAGGGCCGCCTTGGGCTGCTTGAGTCCCCGCTCCTCGCAAGGTGCCCTCTCCTCACCACTGCCTCCATCTGCTGAGCCACCACCCCTTCCCCTCCCGTGTCCTTGCGGCAAGGCCGCCGCTGGTTCTAACCCAGGCCACTGCTCCCTGAGGTGGCCCCTCACCCTGTGGGAGGCCCCCCAACTCTCCTCAAGTTACCCTAATTTACAGGGATCCTGTTTCATCTTTGGGATGCCACGACTGACCCAGTTAGAGCCTGGCCCCCTCTGTTTTACTCAGAACCCTCCCCATCTTTTGGGGGAAATAGCTACTTTCTTCTCTCCTTAGAACGAGTTCTGTCCTAGGAGGCCCTCGGCTCTACCTTCAGACGCACGTCCTTCGGGCCAGTCTTGATAGGCTCTCAGAGAAGCAGCCTGGCTGCGCCGGCCCAGTGACCAGAACAGGGCTGTCGCTCAGGCTGCAATCCCAGCTCGATTAAGTCAGCGTGCACGGAGCGAGGCCGGTCACAGGGCAGCGACATGTCTCTGGGGTCGCACGTCCTCAGACACACGGGGATCCTGGCGATGACATGCAGTCCTGTCACCTGTTAGACACCAGAGAAACCACCTCCTGATTGGTAGGGCTTGTGCAACTTTCCCATTAATGTAAAGAATCTGTACATTTAACTCGTATACTTTTAAAAACCAACAAATACTAAAGATATTACAGTTTGTTTACATGCATAAGAATAATTTTTGTCATAAATCATAGACTAAAAAAAGATGACTTTTTTAAAATCTAAAAGTGCATTTGGAGATTCATGTGAAACCTATTCTATATTATTTTAACCATCTGATGCCTTCACTGTGGTCAGACTCCTGTGTTCAGTACCATCGTTGTGTCTGATGGTGAATTACTGACCAAGTTAATTGAAAAACTAAATGTGCTTTGCAAATAATCTATTTAAGTTTCCTTATTTCATTTGCAAAATGCCTCTATATTTCTTCTGTGAGAAGTGATCTGTTTGCAGTAATAGAGACTTTCTTTAAAAATTTGTATTTGTATTTTTTATTTTTAAAACACTTTATTATGAAATATTTTCAAACATTATAAAATCTATCATAACAAACCTCAACATAACAATCACCTACATTAATAACTGACATTTAGACACTTTTGCATCATCTGTTATACATATTTGAGAAAGTACTTGTAGCAAATCCCAGATATATATTTGCCTTGGTTTAATTATGAATCTTTAAAAAATGTAAATTGCATAACCAAAACACCATTGCTTCACAAACGTAGCAATAATTCCTTAATTATCATCTATTGTCTAATCCATGGTAAAATTTTTCTGATTGGACCCCAGAATGTCTGCTTATATTTAGTTTGTTTGAATCAGTATTCAACACTCCACATGCTGCATTTGGTTCTGTACAAAAAGCTCTTACAGGAGAATTTATTGTCACCCCTCTCTCTCTTCATCAGTCATATGAAGATATTTGACCTTTTATCATAATGATTTCATAGACTGTGGAGGCAATAAATATGTGTGGAGCTGAAGTCTTCTTTAAGGTCAATAGATGCTTGAATTTGGCTTAGCTCTTCCTGAGAGAGCATCACACAAGCAGGAGGTTCTCAATAGCCTTACACTGTTGCCTTGCGATCTATTTTTGGAAACACATCTGCCCTCTGCCACTACAGCACATCACTCCCTCCACAGAAATGTGGGATCATCTTGTTCAAAAGGGAACAGTCATTTTTAGAGCCATATCTCTCCCCCTTGTCTCAGAATCTCGGCAAAGTCTTTAGGAAATGCTTTCTAAGATCGCAAAGCCATACCTAGGCAGCCCCTGGGAAGCAGAGCGAAGGAGCAGGGCTGTAATCCATCCCCAGCAAGGGCTTCCTCCGGAAACCTGAACTCCCAGCTCTCGCCACGGGGCTTTTCTG